CGTGCATGGTCGTTTCCGGGCAAAACCTTATCGTTTGTGTTTTAAGCCTCTTGTGAATTCATTTCGCATTTTTTTTGCATATTCTAATCTAGGGGCATTATGGACCTTTCACATCAGTTTTATTTTCTTCTTTTGACATGGTTGAATAGAAAACATGATTTTAGGGGTGGGTTTCTTCTTTGTGTTTTTCCAGAAAATGTCGTCTTGGTACCGGAAATCCCTCGTGAAGTTTCAGCTTCCAGTTTTCATTTAGCAGCTTTATGACTCTCTTGTTCAGTTCTGATCTAGGGGCATTTTCGGGATTTCACAGTGAGTTTTTTTCAATTCCGTCTGTGTGGTCAGGTAGCAAAATCAATTTTAGTGGGGGTTTCTTCTTCGTGTTTTTCCAGAAAAACTCGTCTTGACCTCCGTTTCAAGCCTCAGTTCTGGGCAGATCAAAAAAAAATGTAGCAGCAGCCAAGGGCTGCCACCAGCCATGTCTTTGGGCGCCGGCATGCACGCTGGTGGGCTCGCGCATGGGCGCCGTGTGCACCATGGGCCCTCGTCGGGCCGCCACGACGTCAATTCTTCTTTTGGGCTTTTCTCCTTCGTCCGGACTCAGATTCAAGTGAATTTTTTTTTTAACTTGATTAATTTTTCGTCGTCTATCTAACGGTGTGCTTGGTTACACCCGAATATTTTTGAATAATTACCAGTTTGCCCTTATAGCTTTAAGTGTTCGTTTTTCGTCGTCATGCCGTTTCTCCTTTGTTCGGACTCCAAATCATGCGATTCTTGAGTCCATCTTGATTAGTTTTTCATTGTCCTTCCAGTGGTGTGCTCGGTGGCACCCGAATTTATAGTTTTCAGAAATGACTATTTTGCCCCTGGGGGCTTATTTGTCATATTTTCGATCTTTTGCTTCTGCATCAGTTCTTGTTGAGTTCCACGACCTCATGGAAGATCACTTTGACTTCTTAGAGTCTTGTTTTCTATTTTTGCTTCCACATTCGGATCCGTTATCGGATCATCCTTACGGTTCATCACAGGACACGCTGGCCTAAAAATTAGGGTCGTCACACTCTGCCAACTAAGAAGAAAATTTTATTTTTCTTTCTCACTTCAAAGGTTAAGAAAAATAATTATTTATATTAAACTGCTATTATTCATACTTTACACATAATTAAAATTGTTAAGCCTGGAGTCTCGCAAATAATTATTTATTTATTTATATTAGAATATTATAGTTCATTCTTTATAGAAAATTAAATTGTTGAACCCGAAGTCTCGCAAATACTAAATTATTTATATTTAATGATCTTTGCAAATCCAAAGTTTTGCATATATTAATATATTCTTCGTGAGCCTGAAGTTTCACGAATATTTGGTACTCTTTATGAACCCGAAGTTTCGCAAAACTTATTGGCTTGAAGTCCAAATGAACCCAAAATTCTTTGACCTGAAGTCATTTACACTGAGTACTCCTTACAAACCTGAAGTTTTGCAAAATGTAGAAATATAAATTATATACTATTTAGAGAAGTACGTGCCTGATTACATACCCATATGATATATTGCATGTTCACATTTCGACCATTTTTTTTTTTGGTTCATTTATTATACAAATGATTATGCCTTTTGAGATATGATACATATATGAAAAAATGTGAAAAAAAAAATATATATATATATATAAAATAAATAAATAAATAAACCACAAAATTGAACTAAGGCCCTTTAATAAGCAAGTTGAGTTAACGAGCCACCAAGTCACTGGTACTGTTGTGAATATAGATTGACTTTTATATATATATATATATATATATATATGATACGACCACTATGAAAATCATATTATAATGACTGTGGTACTTCAATAATCTCAAATTGATTACTCTTTTTATTATGATGCATACCTCAGTTCGATTATGATGAAATAACTCTAACTGTGTTATTTTATCATTCATAGTTCCATGATAATGTCGAATCTTACCAAACTTGAATTTGTTGCCCTTAATATTTCGAGCAAAAACTACCTATCATGGATTCTTGACGCCGAGATTCATCTCGTCGCCATGGATTTTGGGTATACAATTAAAGCAGATAATTAATGAAGCATCCATGTAGGATAGTGCAAAAGTAATGATTTTTCTTCGCCATCATTTACATGAAGAATTAAAAACTGAGTACCTAAAGGTTATCTTATGGAATAATTTAAAAGAACAATATGAGCATCAGAAAACTGAATTTTTCTTCCAAAAGCTCGATTTGACCGGATACATTTGCGATTACAAGATTTTAAAACCATAGTGAGTATAATTCAGCTCTTTTCAAAATCAGTTCACAATTAATCTTGTGTGGAGAAAAAATCATTGATGAGGACATGTTAGAAAAAACATTTTCCACGTATCATGCCTCAAATGTGCTGCTACAGCAGTAGTACCGAGAGCGTCGACTTACCAAATACTCTGAGTTGATTTCTTGCTTACTAGAAGCTGAACAAAATAATGAGCTTTTATTAAAAAATCATCAGTCCCGTCCGACCAGAGCACCATTACCAGAAGCGACTGCATCCTCATCTCACAGTTGTGGATGTGGTCGTGGTTGTAATGTCCCGGAATTTGGGGTATTTTTTTTTTTTTTTTACTTATTTTCCACATCTCGATGTGCGCGTCGTGTGGGTCCAGGTCTTATTTTTCATTACCTTTATTTCATTATTGGAGTATTTGAGATGTGTGTATGCATGGAGTATTTATTTCATTACCTTTATTTCATTATATATGTGGTTAGTGAGTGGAAGGGGATATTTTATGGCTTATGTGTAGTTAGTGTGGAAAAATGGGTTATTTTGGTAACTTTGGAAGGTCAAAAGGAAGACTAAATGTGAGACACTCATTTGAAGAGGCTAGAGTCAAATTTTGGGCCACACACCACTCACCACACACTCTCTCACACCACTCAACACACACTCTCTCTTAGCCATCTCTTCCTCTCTCTTCATTCTTCTTTCTTTCTCTATATCTCTAAAATTAAACGAAAAAAATTCATTCGTAAAATTTTAAGAAAAAGGAAAGGGAGGTAAATGATCGGGTCGTTACACAGAGTCTCCTGCTGATAACATTTTATAAATATAGAACAAATATAGTACAAGAAATATAAAACACATGAGATGAGAAGGAACGAGGAGGGAAATGAACTTTCTATTATTTCTTTTTGGTGTATCTTGTTTAGGATTTTTAGTAGCATGTATAAACAAAGTTTCACACCACCACAACTTGCCACCTTGCATTTTCCTGACACACATTTAGGAACCTACAATAATTTGCTCCACATCACATACAATACATAATGTAATATAATTTTTTATATAAATATTGATCTTAGTAGCTGTGTATATCTACATATATATTGAAAATATATAATTCAAAAAAAAAAAAAAGTGCAACCTAAAAAAAATATATATGGAAAACTAATATAAGAAAAAATTTCTTTAGTAATTGTTTCAAATTTTCAAAAGTTTAATTTTTGAATTTTTTGAATATTTTGATTCTAAATTCCCAAATATATATATCATTATTAGCTTCATGAAAGGTTTAAAAATTTTAATAAATAATTGTAACTAAACAAATCTCACAAGGTTTAATAAAACACAATTATTATGATTAAAATAGAGAAGTAATTTAATAATTTATATAATGAGTAGTTATATATTTTTTTATTTATAACTAAAAATATTAACATATATAATATCATTATTGTTTTCTGGCATTCTTGCCATCGTACTCTCACAATACTGTAGTTTTTCTTTCTTCCCGTGCTCCCAAGACTTGTTGATAGAGATTTATATTTAATTCGACATAATTTTCTTGTAAATGTCATATTTAAGCTTCGTTTGGTTAGATGGAAATAGTAAAAAAGAAAAGAAATGGAATTTTTTAAAACATTTTAGGAGTTTTATTTAACAGGAAAAGAAAATTTTTGAGGAAAATCACTTTCCATAACAACCTAATTTTTCCTTAATTAAAATTTTCTTCCAAAAATCACAAGAAAATTTTGAGAAAGTTTTGTGAACTTATAATATTGCCTTTATGGTAAATTACATACTATTTAAACCCTACAATAATAATTTTACATAAATTTCTTGAAAAAAAAATTCAAGTGGCTAACCAAATTGACTTGGAAACTTAATTTTCCTTCACGTCACTTCACTTTCTTTCACTTTCACTTTCACTTTCACTTAATGTTCCTGGAAGAAAATTTTATTTATTTTATTAGACATGACAGACATTGGTATAATTTTCTTCTTTTTCTCTCCTAAATTCATATAATGAATATTATACATGTCTATATGCAAATGAAATAACATTTTTTTTAGGGATTGCAATAATAATAAACTTACATTTTTATTACACAAGATTTAAGTTTTCAAAAGTATGGCTAAAGGATTCCAATTTGATATTGTATGAGTAAAAAGGAAAATAAGTTAAATTTATTTTCACTCACTATTTTTGAGCCAACAAATAAATATTTTGAAAATATTTTTTGGAGAGAGCCAAATTAAAATTTATTATGAATTTTGGAATCATACATTAAGTTTATTTACAATATAAATATTTTGGGACTATTAAAAAAAATTTTGAAAATTTTTGGGGGCCACCGGCTCCCCCTGCGACTCACAAGGGATAATAAATGGGGTGGACTTATTGTATTTGTTTATGAGGTGGAGGCCATATATTTATCATTTTGGTGGTTTTATTGTAATTTTAATTTCTCCATATCTCAGGGTGTCACTCTGTCTTTAACTCCATCTCTCTTTTAAGGCAACATCTGCACTTGACCTCTATGCCCCTTAAATAAAACGTTGACAAAATTTTCATCCAATTCCTTCTCCACCAAGTGTTCATATGAAAAGTTCAAAGTAAAATATACACAAGACTTTGACTCACTCCTCACCACTTATTTGTTTTTTTGGGTGAAACCACTCCTCACCAACCTTTGTTGAACTGTTGGAACACAATATTGGGTACTTGTTGGGCGAATCTTTTATTATTATTATTATATGTCAGAGTTGGTATAGACTTCAGATTTATAGCTATATAAACCTGATCCAGTTTTAGCAACCAGATATATATATATATTTCTTGTTTTTTGTTTTTTTTTTTTTTGGGGTGAAAACACTCCTCACCAACCTTTGTTGGACTCTTGGATCACAATATTGGGTAGTTGTTCGGCGAATCTTTTATCTTTTTTACCACATGTCAGAGTTAGTATAGACTTCAGATTTATAGCTATATAAACCTGATATAGTTTTAGCAACCAGATAGGTAAAGTTGAAGAGAACAATCAAACTTTTTCCAAGCAGTGGAGATACTCTCCATCCAGAAATTTGGGAATGAATGCTCCAATTGTTCAACACATCTCAGGGTGTTTTATCAAACCACAGTATATAACAGATGAATCAAAACAACCCATTCATTTGTCACAATGGGACTTAGCCATGCTCTCAGTTCATTACATCCAAAAGGGTCTACTCTTCATCAAGCCTCAAGCAGTTGATGATCAAGCAGACCCCATCAAACCTCTCCTGGAAAAGCTCAAAGTGTCCCTCTCTCTTGCTCTCGTTCATTTCTATCCGCTTGCCGGTCGCTTAGCCACACTCAAACAAGAAAATCCACCTTGCTACTCTGTATTTATCGATTGCAATGACAGCCCGGGGGCCAGATTCATCCATGCAGCCGTGGACTTGACAGTGTCCGACATCCTTTTGCCTACTGATGTCCCTCTAGTTGTCCAATCGTTCTTTGATCACGACAAAGCAATTAATCATGACGGTCACACCATGTCTCTGTTATCAATTCAGGTGACTCCAAAATCTCAAGCCATTAGAAAAAAAATGCATTCAAAAAGTTAAGCTGTTAGAGAGAATGTAACTTTATTTTTTTATCTTCTAACAGGTGACAGAGCTAGTTGATGGGATCTTTATAGGATGTTCCATAAACCATGTTGTCGTGGATGGAACATCTTTCTGGCATTTCTTTAGGGCATGGTCAGAGATTTTCAAAGCACAAGGACAGGACAATATTCCCATTTCTCACCCACCAATTCACAAGCGTTGGATTCCTGAGGGCCATGGTCCAATTATCAGCCTTCCTTTTACCCACCATGATCAGTTCCTCAGCAGACATGAAGCACCCCAAATGAGGGAAAGAGTCTTCCACTTCTCAACAGAGTCCATAGCAAAAATCAAAGCCAAAGCCAATTCAGAATGCAAGTCCAACAACATCTCCTCCTTGCAGGCCTTGTCAGCACTTGTTTGGAGGTCCGTCACAAGGGTGCGGCGTCTACCAGCTGACCAGGAGACCAGTTGCAGAATGGCCATTAATAACAGATCAAGATTGAGCCCACCATTGCCCCAGGAATACTTTGGAAATTCAATCCAGACAGTGAGAGGAATCGCCACAGCTGGACAACTGCTTGAACACAATCTCGGGTGGGCAGCTTCACTATTGCATCAAGCTGTGACTAACCACAGTGACAATGCATTAAGAGAGTGGGTTGAGGCATGGTTTGAGTCTCCCTTTATATACCAACTTGGACGGTTCTTTGATCCCTGCAGCATTATGATGGGAAGCTCACCGCGGTTTGACATGTATGGGAATGAGTTCGGATTGGGGAAAGCAGTGGCACTTCGTAGTGGATACGCGAACAAATTTGATGGGAAAGTGTCATTGTATCCGGGATGTGAAGGCGGAGGGAGTATGGATTTGGAGATATGTCTTTCACCAGATTTGATGTGTGCTCTTGAATCCGACAAGGAGTTCATGGAGGCTATCCTTTAATCTAATATTTTATGTACTAGAATTTGCAATGTTGAAGTTGAATGCTTCACAATTAGCCTTATCTTGCAAACCATGAATTGAATAATTTAATGGATTGACTTAGTTTTATGTTAATATTTTTTCGTCAGTTATGCTTGGTAGGATGGAATTGGTGCATTGAAATTGGAATTAGAGAAAAATTATTTAAAACTTGTTAATGTCATGGATAAGGTAGCTGCTTGTAGTTAATTGTTAAATTTTGTAGCAATGTATTGAAGCAGAAATCTAAAACAAAGTGTCCAAAGGGGGACATGAAAGAATCCAAATATCAAACGTTATTAGTTCATGATAGAGTGACGAAGGGGTTTCTGAGAGGATAAAACTTCTATAAAACTTCATTTGGGCTCTACTTGTCATCCCTCCCCTTTTTCGTTCATATTTGTGCAGAGAAAGATGACTTGTCTATTTTGTTATCTTTTCTCTTTCCATCTCTTCTTTACCAAATGAAAAAAATTTCTTCACCCCTTATGCTCTGCTCGGTAGGAAGGCAAAATTTCTCTTTCCATCTCTTCTTTACTATTATTTCTTTCACTCCTTTTCTTTCCGACCTACCGAAGGAAACATAAAAGACTAGAACAGTTAGTTCTAAACTTACTCCACTTGGATTTATGAGGTGATAGAAAGGATGGACGGCTTTCTAGAGGGGAAGAGTCAAAAGTCAAGGAAGTACCAAAAGAAAAAAAAAAATTGGAAAAATCAAATTTAGGTGCCTTGACAATTGTAGATCCTTATGTATATACACACACACACACACACACTAAACCGACGCAGTGACCAACCGGAAAAGCTACAGTCGTAGAACCAAACTCCATTGACAATTGTAGATCCCAGACGACACAAAATTCGGAACCCAACCTCCATTGACGAGCTGAAGAACCTAAAAAACTCCAAATCCACTCAAACCTCAACTGAACCCACCACCAATCTCTTGCAACTCAAATTTTCAATTGTTTCTTTGGTTGTTTCAGTTGATGCTAATGATGCTAAGATTTAGTGAAGAGTTGCTATTGTAGAAGCACAACTAATACTGTAGTCCTCTGAAATCCTCAATCTCTACAAATCCCATTGCACCACCGTCGTCAGCCCTCCTCGGACGAACCAAGGACTTCAATTAAATACCAACTTAAGTTAGTACATTCTTGAATCATTTAGAATCGAAGGTTTTTAAGTGGGCATCATTTCCTCGGACGGACCAAGGACTTGGGACCATTGGAGGAGCAAGCGTACGGCGCGCGTCGGGCCGATCCCGCTTATTATAATATATATATTAAATTTATAAATTTTTACGTATACATATGAAAATTTTCATATAATATCTTTCTAAAAATTTTATTTTCTAAATTTATCTCTTATATTTTGTATTTTGTATTTTTTTTTTTTTTAACTCTTTAAATTCGTTTAATTTCCTTTAAAAAAAAGTCAAAATTTTCTTTTTGAATTAAACTCCAATTTTTTTTACTTTCAAAATTCTCTAATTTTACTTTTCTTTTTTAATTTTTTGTTGAGTGAACAAATAATCCGTCAATCCGATCCGAACCAATCTGATTCGTGGGTTTGGTTCGGTTTTCAAATCTCATGATTCGGTGATAATTTAGAAAAATAGCAATCTGCTAACTGATCTGATCCGTTAACCGAACCTAATCGATTTGTTACCTTAATTATATATGTACACACAAATTTTGTAATATGCAAATAAGAAACAAAATTGGGAGCAAATAGAATAGTTTATTAATTTATAAAGATGGAGTACAATCCCCTGTAATAATATTTTACAAAGAATAAGGTCATCTGAATCGATCTCCTTTTTGGTTGGTTGGATCCAAGGGCTACACGAGCTTGATCTTGAATCACCGTGGAATTTGAATGAAAAACGACACGTCTTTGGCTGTGCTTGTTGTTGATCACCGTGGAATTTGGATGAAAAACAGTACAATTTGATGTGCTTGTTGTTCTTCGTCTTCAGAGAGGATTTGTTGAATTTGGTGAAGAACGGTACGACTTTGGATGTGCTTGGTGTTCTTCGCCTTTAGGTTTGCCCTCTGGATTTCTGGCCCTCTGGATTTTTTATTCCTTCTGGATTTCTAAGTCTCTGGATTTCTGGACTCTAAATTTGTCTCCCTTCTGAATTTCTGGATTCTGAATTTGTGTCCCTTCTTTCTTCCTCCAGGCCTCTATTTATAGGCTTCTTGGGTTGATAGGATGATGACACGTGTCATCTCCTGATAAGGATAAAATTATAACTAGGCTGGGCCGCCGGTTATATTATGATAATTATCCTTAAAAAAAATTATTTCAAATATATTTTATCAGGAATAATTATCTGTTTATTTAACCATCTGGGCTGGGTTAATTAAATAATTTAAGTGGACTAAGCTTGGGCCAATTAAATAACTTAATCAAACATTAGGCCCATATTTAATAGGTCCATTTGTCAAAACCAAAGCTTATTAAAATTTTAGTATCTACAAATTGCCCCCACTTCGAGTCCCAAGTTGATTTTTTTCTTCTTCTCTCTCTCTCTCTCTCACCTTTTTTTTTTTTTTTTTTTTTTTCCTTTCCTTTTTCTCTTTTTTTTTTTTTTTCACATAATTTTTTTCTTCTCTTTTTTTTTCTTTCCTTTTTTTTTTTCTCTTTTTTTTTCCTTTCCTCTCTCTCTTTCTCTCTTTTCTTTTTCTTTTTCTTTTTTTTTTTTCCACATTTTTTTTTTTCACGACTTTTTTTTTTTTCATTTTTTTTTTTTCACGATTTTTTTTCCCTTCCTCTTTTTTTTTTTTTTTGAAGGGCTTGATGGGGTATAACAACTTGATTTTGCTAGCTGTAGCAGAAATTGAAATCGTCCTTCTAGACAATACCGATCGAGCTTCAAATTTGTTTGTTGTTTCATCATGGTGGTATTCAAGTGTTTTATGAAGCAAAAGATGACTATCTTAGAGAGCGAAAATAGTCGAAGAAGCCAAAAAAATCACATTAAACGTATCCGACTCACTTCTCAGTCGCAATGCCATTTGTGATACCCCCGGATTTCCAGATGCGGGTTGGCCAGGCCCACACTCGATTATTTGAGGATATCAAACCAATTAGCAATAAACGAACACAATACAATTAAAATAATCAGGAATAAATAAAACTGCTGAAAAGAAACTAAGAAGATAATCCAAAACTAAAACCTCAGAATAAAATTTTCTAAATAAGAAATTATTTTGGTACATCCAACTTCTCCATTTTTAATACAACTCGGGAATCCATATGGTGGACCCCTAAAAACCAACACTGGAATCCATATGGTGGACCCCTAGAAACCAACACTGGAAAGCGAATAACCAAAAAGAGGTCCAATGCTAAACCATGAAGAAACCTCATACGTCGTCGGTAGAATGAGTAGCCATCTCTGCTCAGCACGAACAAGCTCTAAGACCTGGAACCATCTGTTACCTGAAAAATAATAGTGGGTCAGGCCCACGAACAAGTTCTATCCTAACTATAATCCAAACAGAGACCCGATACGCAGATACATCCTAGATGTCTCAACCATAACTATATAGTCCGTAAATAGATATATATCCACACTACAGAACTCTCACTGGACTATGACGAGGGTTTTAACCTAAATAGAAGGTAACATGCAAAACGCACCTGAGTGGGCATGACTACCTAAGCCTAACAGGGTATACCTTAACCAGTATAGCCAACTATGCATCCTACTGCATATACGCTTCCTAACCGATGATCCTGAGACTCAAGCTCATACTGCGGTACCATAAATATATATTTAAAGTCCGATCCTATCCATTCACAAGAAATCCAGTTAGTCGTTCAGCTTGTTCAGCCGCACAGACTAACATAAATTATATGTATATAAATTCCTTCCAAATAATATGTTGTGTCGGTCAACTGTTCGTCGTCCAGACATGACACATAATTAGGATTTAAATGTTTTAATTAAATTCCTAACCTTCCTATTACAGAAATATAAACAACCATCCAATATGTCGTTCAACTGTTTTAGTTGACAGGACATGAAACCATGTAGGATTTAACTGTTTTAGTTAATCCATTCCGTATGTATGAATGGGTAGGAATTAACGTTGTGACCTTTTCCGTCCCTCCGTATGCCACTGTCCCATACCGGTGCATACCATGCAAATGATCCGTAAATGATGCAACAACTCAAATAGTACATTAATTAAATCCACACAATTCAAATAGTTGATAAAACAAAAATGTAAACAGTTCATCACTATAATCCCAAAATAATATCCATGAAATTGACGAAACAAAGTTTAATCGTTTGTCAATTTAAAATCCAGAATCCATTCATATAATTGACAGAAAATATGCAATTTAGTCTTCAATTAAATCTAGGTTAACTTCCATGTAAATTACAGAACCTATGTTTTAGTTCAGCAATTTAATTCCAAAACCAATATACTGTAGAATTATAACTAGCAGATTAACAAGTAAAAACTAAAATCATGACTCAGTTAAGTGCAGATTAATGTATAATAACTCAGCAATTAAAATCCTAGCCTTAATCCATGTAATTGCAGAAACAAGTTTAAATCTTTCAGCAATTAAAAATCCAAAGCATGTATAGGTTATATTTGATAAATAATTAGCCTTACTGTGATTTAAAGCAAGAGTTATACTCATGCGATAATCCGTTAAACCGCCGAATTAAATTAACCCATTAATTTTCCTTCAACCGGTAACAGTATGCAAAGTGGTTAATATATCATACTGTTCATCCAATAAATTTAACAGGTAATTTATGTAATTAGAGGTCTTACTAGCTTCTGGAATTACAAATTAAATCTCCCAGTAAAGCCCCAAAACTGATTCAGGAAGAACCAAGCACTCAACAGTACTCGTTAAAAAAATCCAGAACAAATAAAAATGAGAAAACCTGCTCTTAAAATGCAAGAGCAGGATCTTGCAAGCATGGAGCCACCTCCCTACATGGGAGAGCAGGCTCTTGAGAGTTAGGAGCCGGCTCTTGACTCCCCAGAGCCGGCTCTGCACTTTGAGGGAGCTGGCTCCCTCTTTTATGGAGCCGGCTTTCTCCCTCTCTCAGCCTT